TCGCGCCATTGCACTCCAGCCTGGGCCACAGAACGAGACTCCATCTCAAAAACACAAAACAAAAAAATCCCAAAACCAAAATAGAGACAACCATTCATAACAGCCATTAAAAAGAGGCCAGGTTAGGCCAAGTGCATTGGCTCACACCTGTAATCCCAACCCTTTGGTAAGCCTAAGTGGGCAGATCACCTGAGGTCAGGAGTTTGAGAGCAGCTTGGCCAACATGGTGAAATTAAACATAGTCTCTATTAAAAATACAAAAATTAGGCCGGGCGCAGTGGCTCACGCCAGTAATCCCAGCACTTTGGGAGGCCGTGACGGGTGGATCATGAGGTCAAGAGATCGAGACCATCCTGGTCAACATGGTGAAACCCCGTCTCTACTAAAAATACAAAAAATTAGCTGGGCATGGTGGCGCGTGCTTGTAATCCCAGCTACTCAGGAGGCTGAGGCAGGAGAATTGCCTGAACCCAGGAGGCGGAGGTCGCAGTGAGCTGAGATCGCGCCATTGCACTCCAGCCTGGGTAACAAGAGTGAAACCCCGTCTAAAAAAAAAAAAAAATTAGCTGGGCGTGGTGGTAGGTGCCTGAAATCCCAGCTATTCAGGAGGCTGAGGCAGGAGAATCGCTTGAACCCAGGAGGTAGGGGTTGCAGTGAGCCAAGATTGCACCACTGCACTCTAGCCTAGGTGATGAGCGAAACTCCATCTCATCAGAAAAATAAATAAGGCCAGGTAGGTCAGGCGCAGTGGCTCACACTGTAATCCCAGCACTTTCGGAGGCAAAGGCCGGTGGATCACCTGAGGTTAGGCGTTTGAAACCAGCCTGGCCATCATGGTAAAACCCCATCTCTACTAAAAATACAAAAATTAGCTGGGTGTGGTGGCAGCACTTAATCCCAGTTACTCAGGAGGCTGAGGCAGAAGAATAGCCTCAAACTGGGAGGTGGAGCTTGCAGTGAGCTGAGATCATGCCACTGCACTCCAGCCTGGGTGACAGATCACAAATCCGTCTCCGAAAAAAAAGGCCAAGTTTAACTGATGGCCAGAACCCATGGAGAGTATGCAGTCTTAACAATTAAGATATTTGCCTTACCTTCAAGCTTGTCCTGAGTGACTCTGCAAAAGCCTCTCTTTCCTCTTTATTAAAGTTGATCCAGGCTTCTATTGCCTCTGTTGGGTTCTGAGAACATGGAACTCCATCTGTGAGTCAGAGGAAAGGCATTGTCAATGACAATCCAAGAGAGAAATTCAGAGAAAGGGACTTTAAAGATGTGAACCACTTTATTAGACTACCACTGGGCATGCACATATATTCACGTACATGAAATTAACCTAAAATTGCCCTTTTTTTTTTTTTTTTTT